GGGACCGGGGGGGGGGCAGACAGGGGGAGCCACAGGACACTGGAGTCCCTGAGGCTCACAGCGGGGGGATGTGACGGAGCCAGGTGAAGCCAGTCACTGTAGAAATGGTTCCCTCGGGAATGGCCCCCCTTGTGGGTCTCTGGGTGGGGGGAGACTGGCAGGACTCACCCAAGTGCTTGGCAAAGGCGGGGTCCATAAATGCAATCAGGGCTTTGAGCATGATGAGGTTTCTCCCCACGCCAATGCTCACGACACAGCTGTGCTCCTGGAAGAGACAAGCCGGGAGGGCTGGCAGGAGAGGCAGAGATCAGATGGCCCAGTCTGCCTCCAGCCTCGCCGAAATCCAGGAAGCCAGATTCATCCTTCCCATAACGCCATTGGCCTTACCCCGGGGCGGGGCGGGCCAGGGCGTGGGCTACCGAAGTCTGTGGGAAAGAAGCCCAGCCTGAGCCTTCTGGCCAGTAGTGGAGATTGCTGCACCTCACTCGCTGGTGGCAGCAGTGGGCTCTTGCCAGGGTCCCTCTAATTTCTTCTATCCATGTGCAGAATACATTTTGTTATGCGCATCAAGGCACGTGCAGATGTGCACCACCAGCAGAAATACCTGCTGCCGGCCGTGGGTGCTCTGCTAATCAGCTGGGTGGCACCTGAATCTCTCCTGGGCCGCCCAAGCCCACAGCTTACAGGGAGCATTGGCTGGTCCCCCCCCCGCATGCGGCGAGAGCTCAGCACACTCGCAGCCCAATCCCCGCCTGCGCGGTGCACACACACCCGGCCAGCGCTGTCAGGTTGGGGGGAGTCTGTGTGAAGCAGCCAGCAGCCCGGGCGCGAGGCCCTGACAGGCCTGGGGGGACGTCAAGGTGAGGACACCGGCTTCCTGGGTGTTCAGTGGCGGCTTCCCTAGGGCGGCTTTTTCCAACCTACCAACCCCAGGGCCTCTTGGCTTCCATCCTGCTCAGTCTGGCCTTTGGGGCTCTTAGGAGCAGGGACCCACTCCGACCCACATGGATGTTTTGCCAGTCGCTGCAATGTTCCCCCCAGCAGCTGGGCAGGCCCTGTGGGGCTGGCGCCATCTTCCCGTCAGCGCGACTTGGCAGGATGGGGCTCCGCTCACATCACTGTCGTCCAGGGGCGGGCGGGCGGGCCTGCAAACCCGGGGGCAGACTAGCCCTGTTCTGCCACGGCTGGGAGTGGGGGTCAGGCCAGGCTGATCAGCCCACGGCCCAGTGAGCCCTGCAAACCCTCCGACCTACTGTTCTCTGGAGGAAGAACTGAAACATCCAGTAGACCTCATGCTCCTTCTCCACCAGCAGTTGGAACAGCAGCAGCATCTCGTGGAAGCCCTGCTGGTACCCTGCCAGGGGAGAGGATGCACAGACGCACGGCCATGCAGACAGACAGACCCTGCAGCCGCCAGACACACGTCCCGGGGGCGAGGCTAGCAAGGCGAGGGCAGTGCTCCGGCCAGTCACTCACCCAGACTCTGACGTGAGGGAGGGGCCACAAACTCCAGAAATGAAACCCGGGCATGGGGGGGGGGCAGTCCCAGGGCCTAACCCCCCGGCCCGTGGAGGGGTCACTGGGACCGCGGTGGAGATCAAAGTCCTTTATTTATCCCTGGCTTGGGCAGCACCATTGTAACCCCTCCCCTCGTCCACCACTGGGCCGCAGCCCTGCCTGGGGGGGTCGCTGCCAGAGGGGCAGGGAGCAGGGTTCCAGCGGGCAGCCCCCTGGTACACAACATACAGCCCCCAGCAGCCTGGCAGATGGGTTCCTGTTCTACGGTCCCTGCGCATCGCCGTGGGGTCTGTGTGGAGACCTGGCAGAGAATTACATGGCAGGGCGTGTCACCAGCTGGTGGAGGGGAGTCTGGGAGGAGGGATTCTGGCCAGTCTTAAGTAGGAAAATGGAAAGTCCCTTTCACCATGCCCAAGGCCCTATTTACCCACTGCCCCCCCACTGCCTCCCTGCCACCCACTGCCCATGACCCCCCACTGCCTCCCTGCCCCCCACTGCCCATGACCCCCCACTGCCTCCCTGCCCCCCACTGCCCATGACCCCCCACTGCCTCCCTGCCCCCCACTGCCCATGACCCCCCACTGCCTCCCTGCCCCCCACTGCCCATGACCCCCCACTGCCTCCCTGCCCCCCACTGCCCATGACCCCCCACTGCCTCCCTGCCCCCCACTGCCCATGACCCCCCACTGCCTCCCTGCCCCCCACTGCCCATGACCCCCCACTGCCTCCCTGCCCCCCACTGCCCATGACCCCCCACTGCCTCCCTGCCCCCCACTGCCCATGACCCCCCACTGCCTCCCTGCCCCCCACTGCCCATGACCCCCCACTGCCTCCCTGCCCCCCACTGCCCATGACCCCCCACTGCCTCCCTGCCCCCCACTGCCCATGACCCCCCACTGCCTCCCTGCCCCCCACTGCCCATGACCCCCCACTGCCTCCCTGCCCCCCACTGCCCATGACCCCCCACTGCCTCCCTGCCCCCCACTGCCCATGACCCCCCACTGCCTCCCTGCCCCCCACTGCCCATGACCCCCCACTGCCTCCCTGCCCCCCACTGCCCATGACCCCCCACTGCTCCCTGCCACCCACTGCCCCCCCACTGCCTCCCTGCCACCCACTGCCCATGACCCCCTACTGCTCCCTGCACCCACTGCTGGGCCAGTCACCACCTCCAGGTCCACATGGCGTGTCTCCCTGCCCGGCCGCACACCCCTTGCTTGTCCTGCCAAGACCCCCCCTTGCAGAAAGGAGCCTGGGCAGGTGATGGTATTTTCCAGAGAGAACGCAGGACACCCCCAGCTGCTCACCCGAGGGCCCCGTCCCGGGAGCCCCGCCGGGCAGGGGGTGCTCAATCCCCCCAGTGGCAGTTGCCTGGTTGCTGGAGCCCCCAGTGGGGGTCCCACATGCTGGAACTGGGAATGCTGCTGCCTCCCCCAGCCGTGCCTCCCTGGGGGGGCTGGCCTAGCCGCTTGCCCCCAATCCCACTCCCCCAGGACAGCCATTTTCCCATTTGCGCCCGCCCACTGAGCAAGTCAGCGAGAGCACACGGGCCAAGTGCCCACCTCTGGGAAACCAGGCGGGCCAGCAGGGCCCGGGCCCAAACTCACCACGAGCCTCAGCCACACAGCAAGGTGCCTTTGCCCAGGCCCCGGTGTGCTGCTGCCCCCGCACTCACCAGCCTCCGTGTTGCACACGTAGGTTAGCAGCAGGATCTTCTCCAGCTGCTTCTTGTCCACCATGGAGTTGCCTTGTGCATCTCGGATGTGCAGCCTCTGCAGGTCAGAGCCTGCGGGGAGAAATGGCTGTGTCCGTACTTCCCTAGACTACCTACGGGACACCCGCAAAATTACGTGGAATCAAGCCAAGTCAATGGCAACCAATCAGAACCATGCAAACGTTCAGTCCCCGTGGAAAAGAAATACTGCATAGCTGGAGTCCAGGAGCCCATAGAGGAGGTGCTAGCTTCCTCTTTGAGAAGCCATGGACGTCGGGAGAGATCCCAGAGGACTGGAAAAGGGCAAATCCAGAGCCCACCTATGAAAAGGGAAATAAGAACAACCCAGGAAACTACAGACCAGTCAGTTTAACTTCTGTGCCAGGGAAGATAATGGAGCAGGTAATTAAGGAATTCATCTGCAAACATCTGGGAGATAATATGGTGATAGGGAACAGCCAGCATGGATTTGGAAAGAACAGATCACGTCAAACCAATCTGATAGCTTTCATTGATAGGATAACGAGTCCTGTGGACAAAGGGAGAAGCGGTGAATGTGGAATACCTAGACTTTAGTAAGGCATTTGATACAGTCTTGTGACCTTTTTATCAGTAAACTAGGGAATACACCTTAGATGGGGCTACGATAAGGTGGGTGCATAACTAGATGGATAACCGATTTCAGAGAGCAGTTATTAACAGTTCACAATCCTGCTGGAAGGGCAGAAAAAGTGAGGTTCTGCACAGGCTCTGTTCAATATCTTCATCAACAGTTTGGATGATGGCAAAGGTAATATGTGTGATGGCGCGATGGGGTTCCCCCGTCTCCTGCACCCCGAAATGGCACAAACAGACTGCACCAGCTGGTGTAATGGAGGTTGTTTATTGCCTCTCCAGGATACAGCACAGCACAGATGTAATCTGGTCACAGAGCTGGGCTAGGATGCCTCAGGCCCCCTTGAGATGGGGGAGACTGGGCCCCTAAACTCCAGTCCCTTTCCCTAGGCTGTCTCCTCCATGCTTCCAGCCAACAACTCACTAACCCTCTTCCAGCCCTGCCCCCCAGCCAGGGCAGCATTCCACCTTCCTTTGTTCCTCTCCATGGGGGGTGTCTGGCCACTGGTTTGCATAGTGACTCATCCTGTTTTGCTGGGTCGTGGTACCCACAGCAGCCAGTGGGGGTTACCCCAGAGCCAGCAGCATAGAAACCAGCCAGGTACCCCCACTACATCACAATATGCTTATAAAGTCTGTGGAGGATCTGAAGCCAGGAGGATTGTAAGTGCTTTGGAGGATGGGTCAGAATTCACAATGATCTGACAAACTGGAGAAATTGTCAGAGGTAAATAGGAGGAAGTTTAATAAGAACAAATGCCAAGTACTCCACTTAGGGAGGAACAGCCCACACAGATAGAATGGGAAGCAACTGTCTAGGAAGGAGCCCTGCAGAAAGGGACCTGGGGTCATAGTGGATCACAAGCTAAATATGAGTCAACAGTGTGACACTGTTGCAAACAAACAAACAAACAAACATAATTCTGGGCTGCATTAATGTTAGTGCTGTGAGCAAGACATGAGAAGTCATTCTTCCGCTCTACTCTGCGCTGATTAGGCCTCAGTTGGAGGATTGTGTCCAGTTCTGGGCATCTCATTTCAAGAAAGATGTGGAGAAATTGGAGATGGTCGAGAGAAGAGCAACAAGAATGATGAAAGGTCCAGAGAACATGAGCTATGAGGGAAGACTGAAAGAATTGGGTTTGTTTAGTTTGGAAAAGAGAAGATTGAGGGGGGACATGATAGCCGTTTTCAAGTATTTAAAATGGTGTCATATGGAGGAGGGAGAAAAATTGTTTTCCTTGGCCTCTGAGGATAGAACAAGAAGCAATGGGCTTAAACTGCAGCAACGGTGGTTTAGGTTGGACATTTGGAAAAACTTCCTAACTGTTAAGGTGGTTAAACACTGGAATAAATTGCCTAGGGAGGTTGTGGGATCTCCATTCCTGGAGATATTTAAGAGCAGGTGACAAGGCTGTTCCCCACTCTGGCATGACAAATGCAGACTTGGGGGCCCACAAAAGCACCCCGAAACCTTATTTTTCCAGGCTTTGGTACAGAAACTTCCCTCCCAAAATCGTAATACCCGGATTTTGGAGAATAAAAAAACCGCTGCCACCACTCAAGTATTTATAAGAAAACCAGGGAAGAAATCACTTGGGAAATCTCATCCCTAAGGTAAAACCAAGACAGAAAAATGAACCAATACCAGTTAATTAGAAAAAGAAAGCAAACTTTTATTATCAAAACAAAATTACTGTTGCAAGCATAATGACTAGATGGAAAAGAACCACCAATTAATCTAGATACTCAGGGGAACCCTCTTGACTCAGGACTTAGTTACAAAAGAGGGGGAAAAAGAACACTTTTAACAGCTCAGACATCAATTCCAAATTCCCAAACCATAAAACAAATAAAACCTGACAGGTTAACTTGCCCTACTTACATATTGTGAAAAGACTTTTCTTGGAGACACGAACCAATACCAGGTTAAAAAAAAAGAAGCAAACTTTTATTATCAAAACAAAATTACTGTTGCAAGCATAGTGACTATATGGAAAAGAGCCACCAATTAATCTAGATACTCAGGGGGACCGCCTGGGCTCAGGACTTTAAGTACAAAAGGAAAATACTTTTAAAGGGAAAAGAAAAAAAATACATTTTGAACAGCTCAGACATCAATTCCACATTCCCAAACCAGAAAACAATAACACCTGATGGATTATCTAGACTTTGCCCTACTTACGCATATCAAAAGTCTATTCTTGGGAGAGAGACAGGCCTTCCCATCTCCCTGTTATGTGGAAGAAAACGCTCTGACTCAGACAAAGGAGGGAAAAGTTAAAAATTCCTTTGTCCCAGTTTGAAATCCCTACCTGCATTGCTATTGGCTGACCAGATACCTGGCTAGGTTAACCCCTTAACCACCAGGCTGCTGGTCAGCTCTCCTAGTTGTGACAGCAGGTTGGACAGACACCTGCCAGGGATGGTGCTGGGTCCTGTCGTGAGGGCAGGGACTGGACTCGATGCCTCTCGAGGTCCCTTCCAGCTCTAGTGCTCTGTGATTCCGTGATTCTGTGGATGGCGACAGCAGCTGGTGCTAAGCTACACTTGCTCACAACTCCTCCCACGGCAGGTGTTCTGTGTTCCTGTTTCCATTTGGCTGGGTGAACGTGGCCCGAGTGCTATGGGAGTGTGGAGACACAACATCCTTCACCAAGCTGAGCAAGGAGCGGGGCTGGAACGCGGCGGAGCTAACAGCTGAGTGCACGGCCTGGCTCACACTGGCATGTTCGGCGCTGTCACTCACTGCGCTCGGAGGGGTGCATGCGCAGGTTCTGTCCCGGCGCTGGAGAGAGCCTGAGCCTGAGCTTAGGACAACAGCTGGTGTGACTAGTGAGGTGCGTTCCCCTTTGCATCGAGCCAAGACGTCCTTTCCCTGCACTCACAGTCCTGGTGACAAAACCACCTTCTGCGAGGAGCAGGGCAGTTGTCACTGCTTGGCTGTCACACTGGGAGTCCCGCCGTCCTGGCCGTGGCACCGCCAGTACGTTCCTTGGTGACTTGGAGAGGGTCCCGACCGAGCCCACAGGCACAGCGAGCACCACGCGGGAAGGGTTAGAAGTTAGAGCGAGTCAGAGAATCGGTCTGAGACCCCCAGGATGGCCCTAAAGAAAGTCAAGTGCAAACTCCTTCCCTCGGAGGGAAGAGAAACGCACAACTGCACGATGGGGAATAACTGCCCGGTGGAGGGAATGGTGCATAACACATGGGATGAGAGTCGGTGTGTGGTGCACTTGTGAAAAAGGCGAGGCTCACTTTGGGGGCACTAGCAGGAGCATTGCACACAAGGCCTGGAGGAACCATCCGAAGCCGTTCCACCCTGGGGAATCTCGGCTCAGTGTGCTCTAGGAAAGCTGTGGAGGAACTGGAGAGAAGAGCCCTTGTGAAAGGCTGGACCTCTGGCCTGGGAGGGGAGGTTAAAGGAACCAGGCCTGGTTAATCTTGGGAAAGGAAGGCTGCAGGCAAAGCCAATGAATGGTGCGGAAGCAAGCGCGTTACAGGCTGTGCTAGAGCGGGCGGGAATCCCTGGTTCCCAGCATCCACTGCAGGGAGGACAAGAGCTAATGGGCCTCGTCTGCTGGCAGGAGACTCCGGAGTCTGAGGAAAGGGCCCCTGCTCCGCAGGGCAGTTCAGCTCTGGCAGCTGCAGAATCCCGGCCGTTGGGGGCTGCTGAGGGCAGGTGGACACTCGGTTCTGCACAGAACAGCTGCTCACGGGGCTGTCCCTGCATTTCTAGGGCCCTGCGCTGGTCCTCGGGCTCATCACCAGCTGTTGCTAAAGAACCCACCCAGCCCTGCCGAGCGGCTCCAGCTCCCTCGTGCGGGTGGCCAGCTAGCGCAGCAGGGCCCGTGCAGCATGGTTTAACACACCCTGTGCAGCACACCTGGCTATGGAGCGCTACAAGCAACGGCCCCGGGGCTTTCCAGACTCCTCTCTCGGGCTTTGTCTCTGTGTAACTGCCTCCCCCACCCACGTGGGCCAGCTCCGAGACGCTGCCAGGTCAGGCACTGCTGTGGCTTCCACGTGCTCACGCAATAAATCCTGCGGTTCAGGACTAGAAGAACATCACAAAGTGGGACCGCAGGGCGGGGCTTAAGTGAGCAGTGGGGGCAATTCCTTGCGTTGGAATCTGGCCAGGACACCAGGGTAGCACTCCTGCTCTTCCCGATAGCATCATGGGCTCGTTAAAGACTGGCCGTGATCAGGACCGTGGGCTTCCACCTTCTGTGAAGGGCAGAGCTTCTAGCAGTACAGTGCCTCTCAAACAGTGTAAGGGCAGACGTTCGAGCCAAGCACAGGGCACATTTACACAGCAGGGCAAAAGCCAAAATAAGCTACACAACTTGAGCTCCGTCCATTGCTTAATTCGGCTTTTGGTGCTGTCTACACAGAGCCTGCTTCCTCCGACTCCCCTTACTCCTCCTCCCGTGAGGGTTACGGGAGCCGGAGGAAGACGTCCTCCCATCGAGTTATTGTGCCATTGTCGAAACAGCTGCTTGTGGTGTGGATACGGATTAGGTTGTTTCGGAATCACGTCAGTGATTGTGACAACACGGCTGGGTAGACGTACCCAGAAGGAACAAGGCTACCAGTGACTCGCAGCAATCACATGGGTAGATCCCACCCAAGCTAAGCAGAGGTGGGAGAGTGCAACCGAACAGGCGGTGTCCGTAGGTGTGGGACGGGCAAACACCCCTCAGTGCTTGAGTGTTGGAGCCAAACCTCCAACGCCGGAGCTTAGCGAGAGCCCCAGGCAAGGGCTAGCGCCCTGCGAATCACACCGAGTCGTCTGTCTGCCGCCCCTGGAAAAACCCCGCTCAGGCCCGCGACGACTTACTGATGAAGCTGCAGACCTGCGGGAAGCCCCGGTGCTCCGTCTCCAGCAGCGGCTGGATCTTGTCGTACATGTTGCACAAGGCCTCGTAACTCTTCCTGAAAGAAGGCGGGAGGGGGCTGAGAACATGCTGCAGGAATGGAGCCTGGTGCCAGACTCTCCAGCTCCGCAGGGCCACGCCCCGCTCGAGCAGTTTACACCTCCACAGCCCTATGCTGCCAACCCGCCCCTGGCGCCACTAGCACCTCCCTCTCTTCCGCTAAGGCCCCCGGCCACCCCTCCCTCCCCGGGCTCCCAGAACTCTCCCTCTGCCCACCCATGCAGCCTGGAGCGTCTCCCTGGGGTGCCCTTGTGACGTGTACTGGGACTCGCTGCTTCACTCCCCGTCTCACAGCTCCAGATGCTTGGCGGGGTGCCTAGGTGCTGCCGCAATCGTCACCATCAGCTCCGTGTCTTCAGGGATGCCCGGGAAACCACCAGCCGCCCTGCTATGTGGTGGCGCCTGCTCTCGGGGACCTACCTCCTCATACTCTCCGTCGTCAGCCTCTCGTCCTGCGAGCTCCGCCAGGAGTAGTAGCCCGTGAGGAACTTCCATGCCTCTGGCCTCACTGCGAGGTCCAGACCCTGCAAGGGGGGTCATGAGTACAAAAGGCAGCTGGGCGCCCACT